TATATATATATATATATATATATATATATATATACATATATAGGAATATATATGACTATATATATATATATATATATATATAACGAGTGGTATCAGGTATATGCTACAAAATTTATTTGAAAACTAGCGAGTAGCCTACTTTCGACTATAAGTCTTTATCAAGCAAACAATTGTCTCGCATTAATACTTTATATGTCGTATCAATATTCACAATTTATAACAGTATAGCATAGGGTATTCACTTTGCAAATAAAGTTGTCTTACATTAGACCATTAATCACTATATTTGGATTTATGTATTCATAAGTTTATTCAAATCAATTTTATTGTCTTGTTATCGTCTAGGTTATGCTTTGGGCAGACGGTGGTAGATTTGGTAGAAACACTCTGATTGGAGAGACCATGATTTGGCTTGATAACGTTGACATGTCGGACGGTAAAGTTACAGCCTGGTATAAACTATTTACACCTACATCACCCAGAACACCTTAGTTTTCATAATGAGCACAAATAATTTGGCGCTGGATTACCTGGTATTCCTGATTTAAATAATAATAATAACTCTATCTTAAATCAATTAAATCACAGTACTTTTTTAAATAGGTAGCTTATTACTAAATGATACAAGTAAATGAAATTCTGATTTGTGATACAAAGCTTGTTTAATTTGTCAGCCACATACAGCACAGAGGAAAACCATATTATGATGTTGAAAAAATGATATTTCAAGTTCGATATCAAAGATTTCTTCAGGGGCAACATGTCGGCATGAAATTGTGTGCATGGTGATGTGACACGAACATTTTTAGTTGGTTTGCAGGAAAATAGACATTAATTCATCAAGATATTAAAACAAAGTAATAAAAAGAGAAAAAATGTTCAACAAGATAAAATCTTCAGAAAATCAAACGACGATTGTCATACAATAAGGAGCTCGATGTTTAGATTTTTTTTGTTTACTTATAGCAAAGAGTATAAATAGAAATATTTTATACTCTTTGCTTATAGCTAACAGAATGGGAAGAGCAGGGTTTGGTGGCGACTCATTTTGTAACATTCAACAATATGTCTATAACCCAGAGTGTATGGTGAAATATCTCTTTTTTGTTATGCTCCAAGTATTGGGTTATAATTTCGTATAAACACAATATATAAAAAAGAGGGTGATGTGATGAACCAATGGTCTGCATTTAGTACTTAAGAAATTAATAATGATTCGGTGCTTGATTTTAATTGATTGGTAAATTACTTACGCAATACATTTCTTACTACTGTATATGTTGGGTAATCCACACTATATTTATAGGTCTATGATGAGGTAAATGTAGTCATTAGCATCTATATAATCCTAGAAGATAGAATTACCTAATAATGCAAATTATTATTTATAACACCTACTTAAATAGGCACACAATTTTGAAAATATATATAAAAATGAATTGACAATAAATGGATGTGATGAAATGCTGTAAATATACTAGGACCGAAATAGAGCATTAGCTGTAGGACTTTGTAAACATTTAAAATTTCAAATTGACGTACTTCAAGATGCCTTGCTGCCTTTAATAATTTACTTTGTATTTTTTTCAAAGATGCAAGCGTCATGTGAAAATATACATTGAGTACCATATACTAGAATTGGAACTAAAACACTGTTCCAGACATGCTCCACCCCTGTTTACACATACCTGCACTTTGGAGTGAAAAGGGCCTTTTGATAGTTACGGATGCGGATCGTCAATGTGAAATTTGCTGTTTAAATTACTATTAAGTGTTACCCCACGAAAAGTTGACTTGGTGATATTTAAAATACAATTATTTAATTAACAAACAACGGGTTAAAGTCACAAAAAAATGTAGCCTAAGTTTAATAATTTAAACCAAAGTAGAAATTCCAGATTTTGCTGTTTATTAAAGAAAGATGTTTATTGTCTATGCATTTTATATGGTCAAGTTCACCACCGCTAGTCTTAAATTGGTCAACGGACGGTTACAATGGACAAAACTCCAACGGCAACATTTACTGAAATCAATATTGTTTTAATTCCTCATTCATGAAAGTAAGTTTTGTTGCAGGATTGGTTGTTATATTTATATTGGAAAATAAAATAATGTAAAATAAAGCTAAGTTGAGCTAAAATGATGTACACGGTACGTTGTTTTATAGTAGTATTTAATTTAATTTTAACAACATTTTGTAAATGCATTGTATATTCAATTTATATAAAATTGTATTATGGTCTAACGAATAACCGACGGATAGCTTGAAATTACTTTTGACACTACAGTATATAAAATATATATATTTGCATTTGTTTAGTATGTGGCCAAAGAGTATATGGAACATTATTATTTTGTTGTGCAATATTGTTAGTGTAGTAATTATGTATTGTAGATGTTAATAAAAGAGGGCTAGCTATGCTCGAGTATTATCATGTTTTAAAAATACAAATACTGAAGTAAATGTAATAAAATGTAATCAATTCAATTAAAAGACTTTCATTTTGTTTCATTTATTTGTCAACTTTAATGATTTTCTAAACTACCACACGAGTTCCACCTTAAGATGCAAATCAGTAAACCACAAATTAAACGGAGAATGGGACTGAAATTTTTAATATTGAATATATGACCGAAATTTTATGCTGGTAAAATAAATAAATATGCTGTTTAAAACCAAACTTACCAACAATATCGAAAGGGCTTTCTTAGTTGGAAGGCCCGGCCATAGACAATATTTCGTAAGGCTGTCAGTACGTAATGTATAATCAGTCAATGTTTGTGAAGCACAAATATGTAATGATACAGGATTATGTTTACAGCACAGTATTGAATATTGCCACCTCTTTATAATTTTTGAAATACTTTAAGTCATTATTTTAATTGTAAACAAAAAACAAATTACCTTCTAAATAAGACTCTGTTTACAACAGTTAAGATAAAGACAGGGAAGACACCAGTGAGAGCAAGCAAGGGGACAGCCACCTTGGGGAGTGCTTGATTTAAATTTTGATAAGGTACACAAGTTCACTTTATATATTTATTTTATTATTTAGTGAAAATATGCCTTTGTATCAGCGGCACTCACTGAAGTGGTGCGTTTCACTTCCTGCTGCATACTGCACCACTACTGAACGCAAATGTTTGTTTGTAATTTATGGAACTCCAATACATCACAATACAATTAATAAAACAAGACATAAACAAAATTCAGTTGACAGAAAAAATAAGAAAGGAATGCAGGGGATAAGGACTTGACTTATAAGGACCGAGGTTTTTTTCCGTAGATGTCCCCACAACAGAAACAAGACCATAACACAGTATTAACAGACCCATCAAATCAGAAATTGTTTAACGTTACAATTAAAGTATAACAGTTTATTTTGAGTTTTAACCTTATTGAACAAATTATTCCAAATAATGATAGAATTATAATTTAAAAAGATTAAATCTTTTTTATTATAATTCTATTATTAAATTTTACTATTATGTGAATGACTAAGTTTTGTAAAATTTTCCTGTAAATATTGTGGGCTTATAACCAAAAAAATGATGAGCCTTTCTTTGAAATAAAACGAATACTTTTGTTTTGAACAAACTGTAATCTTAACTTATTAGTATTAATAACTCCCCAATACCAACTTGTGATAGCATAGCCAATATGACTGAGAGCCCCAGTGAACACATGATAATTGTTTTGTTTTAGACTTGAAGTATCTAATTTGCCGGTACGCAATTATTTTCAATCTATTGTTGACTTTTTTAACTAGCGGTATGATATCACCGATACACTGTCCGGTTAAACATTGATCTAGTTTTAAACTTTATCACCCTGCTACCTTATACTGAACTGTACTAATGCAATTTTTTTTCATAATGAATTCTGCCATGTATTGTTCTTCCTCTGTCAATATGTGTAAATCGTGTTAGTGGAAAAATTATATTTTAATATAATAATATGTTAGGCTTACATAGCGCTCATTGCCAACAGAGCCTCTAAGCACTCATTATTTGGCCTACACCCAGTAAAAAATATACACTATTTGCTTTCGGATTGGTGCATGCGTCTGGCGCTAAAATCTTAACAAACAAGTTTTAGTGTAACTGCATTATCTCTTATTAATTAAACTTGTTTTCTCTTCGTCATTACTTATTTTCAGATTTGACCTTTCCTGTTTTTGACCATTATGCATAACCGCTCCTGTACATGACCACTCCTGTTCTTCAACTTGCGCAAAGAATAGATAAATAATCATCCCAAAAAGCTGGATGCCGGCAGTTATTGTAAACATTATGGACCATTGTCCCAACACATTCTGAAAGTTAAAATGGAATTAAATAATATAATTGATATATCTAAATGTATGCTTAGGATTCAATAATAGCGTATGAAATTCAAAAAAAATTGTAAGACTTCTGGTAACATGGCAAAATAAACACACCCACCTTTTGAAAGAATTCTGCATTAATATTATCATGAAACATTCTTGTAGTAACAGTTGGTGGCTAACATTGGTCCACCGGACCGTCCATATGATAGGCCATTTTTGGCGTGAAACTGACGATAATTACATGATGTCAGATAAGATTTAGAATAAAAGAGCAGCTCTAACCTATTGGTATCATTAACAGTATAGGCCTAATAAATAAGGTAAAAACATTTTCAGGATAATCAATACATAAATAATCTTACATTATCTTGCGTTAATAATCCAACAATGAAAGGTCCAATAAAACCAGCAGTACTGGATATCGTCATTACGACACCTGTTATTATCCCAGAGTACATTGGAGAAAGGTCTATCGGGTTGGAAAGCACGGAATTCCCTACTCCATAAATTCCAAAAGTAGTTATAATAAGAAACTGCATGAAGTATTCATTACTGCTAGCATATCCAAGAGCAAGAAGACAGACAGCTGGTATTCCAAGTGCTTTGAATAAAGTGTAAAGCAACAATTAAAAGCATTCTACAATGTTTTAAAACCTCATTAAAATAAATTGCGCTAACCTATTGGTATCATTAACAGTATAGGCCTAATAAATAAGGTAAAAACATTTTCAGGATAATCAATACATAAATAATCTTACATTATCTTGCGTTAATAATCCAACAATGAAAGGTCCAATAAAACCAGCAGTACTGGATATCGTCATTACGACACCTGTTATTATCCCAGAGTACATTGGAGAAAGGTCTATCGGGTTGGAAAGCACGGAATTCCCTACTCCATAAATTCCAAAAGTAGTTATAATAAGAAACTGCATGAAGTATTCATTACTGCTAGCATATCCAAGAGCAAGAAGACAGACAGCTGGTATTCCAAGTGCTTTGAATAAAGTGTAAAACAACAATTAAAAGCATTCTACAATGTTTTAAAACCTCATTAAAATAAACTAACGGAAACACAGTTCAAACATTGAAATGTCGTAATTTGTGGGAAATCTTAAAATAATGAGACAAGCATGCTTGTCGGACTAAACAGGTGATAGCTTCTGTGTGTTCGCTGAACCGTAGATATCTCAATTACTGTACATTGCTGCTAGCTCTCCTTGTTTGTCAGCTGGAGGGCTGAAATACAAGTTACGATAGTGCACCGTCTTTCGGATGAGACGTTTTAAGCGGATGGTCCCGTGTACAATTATGGCCCATGTGCATGTTAAAGAACGCAGTACACTCTTCGGAAGGAGTAGGGGATTGTCTCCTGGTGTACTACCCAATTTACCACCAGAAGGACCCGACTGGAAACAAGTTTTCAATCTTCGTTGGTGTGATTCACACCAAAAATACTCTCCTCCATCAGTCTTATAATGAAAATAGATAACATAACAATTCCTTACATAAAACTGCATATAATTTTCGTGTATTTAAGGCGCTAAGATATTCACGTTGAATAAGAAAATCCATGAATTTCCCATATAGGACAGCAGGTACAAACTGAGATATACACATTAGGAGAACCAAAACACCAACCTGTAAGTCGAATAAAAAGTGAAGAAAAATTAATAAAAGTTAATGAAGGAGTATTTAATATAATAATCAACGCTACAGCAGGCCCGTAGGCAGGATTTTGATGGAGAGGTGCGTTTTGCGAGCGAAACGAACCTCTGGCTGTGGGAGGGGCCAGGACCCCGCAGAGGTGGGCGGAGCCCCCCGGAAGCTCCAACGAATTAGTATTTAGAGCGTCTTATAAATAAATTTTTCCATTCTATTTAGATTTTTTATTAATCTGTGTTGTTAGGGACCTAAAGTTGTAACTTTTTATGTCCTTTACATCTGCCTGCAAATAACAGTTAATTGTTGATAATGGATCCATCTCCAATCACTGGAGCTGATAATTTTCAACAAATTTCGTACCACAGTTATTAAAATCAACGGCTTGAAGAGCTGGCGAATAATGCAATGCATACTATAGCTAGTTTTTACTGAATTAAGAAAGTTATAAAAAAAATTTACTTTTGAAATTTGGAGTGTGAGTGGGTCCGACAAACCTGCATTTTGAAAGCCTTATATATAATGATTTCTGAAACCAAAAGTTCTATTTATATTTTCATTCATTTTGGGTGTCGTAGGGACCTAAATAAATAACGTCCTTTACATATCTGTAGGCCTACAGATAAAATTTTTAATAATGGATCACTGCAATCACTGTAGCTGATAATTTCAAACAACTTTCGTACCACAGTATTAAAAATCAACGGTTAGAATAACTGGCAAAATCCCATTTCCCTATAATTAGTAAAATAACCATATTAGTAAAATAATAGGTTTAAAAAAGTGGACTTTGAGGGTACAGGAGCAGGGAACTAGAGTGGGGATTTGGGGGCCTTATAATTGATTTCTCAAACCCACTCTTAAATTTTCTATTTTAATTTTTAATAATTTGTGTTTTTAGGGACCTGAAGAAGTACACTGTTTTATGTCCTTTACATCTGTAGGCATCTAGATAACTTGTTCATATGGATCAATTTGTAATCACCGGAGCTTGATCATTCCAACAAATTTCATAACACAGTTATTAAAAATCAACAGTTTGAAGAGCTGGCAAATATAAAATGAAATGCATACTATGGCATTTAGCAATAATTAGGAGCAATTTTGTGAAGTAATAGGTTGAAGAAAGTGGACCTTTTGGAATGGGGAGGGGGTGTCCGCAACCTCTGCACTCCCTGCCTACGGACCTGCCTACACTATAATATTGTTCTTCAGCTTACTGCTAGAGTTAAGCTTTAGAGTTAACCTTAGTACTCAAAGGAGGCGTAAACTTTACACTTACTGTTTGAAAATTGTATCCTAAAACTGAGGACAAAAATGTTGGTATATCCGTAAAGAAGAAATATACGCCAAAGTCGAATGAAAAGTAACTTATGACGATTGCCAAAACTGGTGGCGAGGTAAAAATGGACAGCCATGGAACGGATTTAATCTAAAATATGATTTGAAATAAACACAGAAGATTAGAATATTAGTTAATCATTATTATTAAAAACAAAACTATTCACATCACGTTTGCACTATAAAGAACCTAGTATATCCTTCGAGACGAGTAGGGGGATACCCCGGTGCTGGAACAGACATCACCTGTAGTGTAACCGGGTAGCACAGACACGAAGGGACCCTTAGGGGTGAAGAAAGTAATTGGTCGAGTTCCTAGTCCACATATCAAGCGCCCTGAGCATCTTACATTAGATGGATATGTGCGCTATATAAAACTACACTATTATTATTATTATTATTATTATTATTATTATTATTATTATTATTATTATTATTATTATTAAAATGAAGTAACATTACACTATACATATCACATTTATACAACAAAATGTCGAATACAATTGATATAAAATGTATATATAAGTAAGATTAATATAAAGAGCTGTTTAATTAAAGACGTTACGAAGACGTCCTGTTATTATATTTTGCATATACATCTATATTTACTCGCTTTGGCATATCTATTGGTTTGATAATTTAAAAAAAAACTTACTTTGATATCCGATTCCATTGGACTTGGGTTTGAATCGAGCAAGGCGAGCTCATTCTGTGATATGCATGGATGTTCGTTTGCTGTATCGTATACAAACACTGTCCAAAATAAAGCCAAAATCAAGCCTACACTGCCTGTCGTTACACCATTTTCCCCGTAGAAAAGCGGTTCGATAAAAAGTGGAATAATAATGATAGAAATATATAACCCAGTTGAATACTACAATGAATGTAAATGAATATATCTAAACGGGAGAACGGATTAATCACACTGATTTTTCTGTATTTATCTTTTTTCTTTGTATTTTTTTGTTATTAAGATATTTCTTGGTTAAGATTTTTTTCTATTTTCCTATACTTATTTCTGACAGGAACTGTATAATATACAAGATACAAGATAACTTTATTGTCCGAAAGGATATTACATTTGGATATTACATCGTATGAACAATTTTAGAAAGTCAAACTCATGGTATTCAAACGACCCATTATCTCCATGGTTGATGACCCCGATAGTATTGTAAGTGGCCAAATGCCGCCTTGATGCTCTCGAGATTCCAGGTGGTAAAGGCTTCGAAAACTTTAGAATTTTACACTAAACTGATATAATCAATTTTAGGGTCTCAAACTAGGTCCAGAAATTCGAAATAGGGGGGGGGGGGCGCGATTTTTTGTCGACGACTCAGCCTAGCCGGTTGGTGGCGCTATTTGCTGCCATGGCTTGTTGCGAAGCCTAATCAACAACGAATACAATGACGTAAAGATGACTTAATTGTGTTTTTGGAAGGAATTCTTATTGCAAATACAACTGTTAGGCACAAAGGAGGTCACTTAATATGTAACAGACTGTAGGCACTTATTCGACCTGACTGTAGTTGCTGGCAAAGCTATAGATCTGAATGGTTACTAGTAGGCTCAAGCGCATGGGGTCACGATTGATTTACTTTACGCCTATGGACTACCTTGTATTATTATTGCAGTACTAGAACAAAAAACTTAATGTCTTTTCTCCATCGTCGGAAGTATAACTCATCGTCCTATGCCAGTGTGCCAATGATTGTAGTAGTAGTGACTTTTTAAATGTGTTATGTCTAGTATGTTTATGTATACTTACAAAAAGCAACGGTGTGTAATAGTTATACCAGGGAGATAAAAATTCTAATTGTTCACGTACTAATAATATTATAAATAAAGCAATTAAAAATGTATTTATTAGGCCTACATGTTTACAGACGTTTGATTACCAGTACTTTGATTACTGAAAGTTTGGTAACTGAAGTTAATCGAAGACGTATGACGTATCAGGAACCTAAATGCTAAACCTTTACTTATTTCAACTTTAAATAAATAAATCAATAGTAATAATAACAATAATAATAATTGTCATTATACAGTAAAACAAACTTTAATTCAATTAGTACTGGTTTTTTATTTTCTAATTTCAATACCTATTTATTACTGTTACTGTTTGATGGTGTTTCTTAGATACGGTACCTTTTTCGTTATGCTTTTATTTTCATAACTTTTACAAATTTTAATGTAACTTAGCTGCGAAGTGGTTTATGGTAGTTAATGCATAAATAATGTCACGTACGAACAATATTTGTATTAGGCCCTCTAAATCTAGGTTAGTTCACTCATCATTTTCGGACATCAACCTTTTCCATTTTATTTATTTTTTTTCCTTTGCGTTTTTAAATAATTTATGTTTTTTAATCAATAAATTGATTTAATTTAATTCATGGACAAAAAGCTCACGATCGCAAAAAAAGCTCTTGTAACCTTGTCACAAGCTTTGGCCTATTCACTCAATAAGCGGAAGCCGCTGCAAAACATCAACATGAAAAGAATATTACAATTTCACTTGTAATTATGATAGTATTTAGCCTAAGTTTCCTGATTAGTAAAATATGAATTATGCAAATGAGTAATTAGCATATCACACACTTACCAAAAACTAATAACCTCATTCTTCTTATTACCATCTTGAATTATCCCAAGTTTGAAATTAATCGGATTTACCTAACTTTAGTTATCGTAGTAACAAACAAAGGCCAAACAGTGACAACGACGACGACAACGACGAAAGATGAAGATATCTTAGGCAAAAACAATAGCCTCCCGGGGCTTTGTTCCTTTGGGGAGACTAATAAACTCACTGAATAATAAGTATGATCGCCTTAACAACATATTAACAAAATACCTCCAATGTAAATTATAAATTTTTAAAGATTTTTAGCGAAGTTTATAGATGCTATGAAAATGACGCCCTACATTTTACGACGAACCTGTGGAAAACAGTGGTAGATCTAGGGGGTGAATAGGGTGGCTAGCCACCCCCTTAGTTTACCGTGAAAAATAAAATAATGGTCGCTCGTCTTGTTTGTGCGATTCTCGTGTACTCTGGAAAAACATACACTTTCTATTTTAAGCTTAGGCCTACTTCTTTTCAGATGCCACCTAAGATCGTCTAGCAGTCTACTAATTCAAAAAAAATCTCAAATGTGAGGCGATGCCCTTCCCAAAACCACCCGCCCCTCCCCCTTCCCCTCGTGCCTTCTCACCTCCTATTATCCACCCCTTTGCTAAATCCTAGATCTGCCACTGGAAAAATCCAATGGCGTAGGTATGGACAGGGGCCCAGGGCCACATTTCGGGCCTGTTCAGTAGACTTATAGATCTAGAAATAGAAAAAAATCCTACTTAAGAACCCTTCAATAATATTAGGTTTTGGTGGCCATAATTATTGATTATGTTCTTTTCAATTTACCTATTACGTGCAGTGGTGGATGCAGGAATTGAAAATAGAGGGGCCAGGGAAGGACCACAGATGGGGGTCTATACAACCTCATGGTTTGGAGTTACAAAAAAATGATCATGGCACCTCTAGATTTTTATAGCCTGCTTGCAAACCCCTGCTTCAATTATACTGAAAGCAGGATGACCTTATTCGTGCCTTTTGAATTTACTCAAGGCTATTTTCTTTCATTCAGGTGTGTTTATGCTTTGTATCACAGTACGATGCAGTAAAATACCTTTTAAAAGCATTTCTGAAGCAATTGAAAAATCAGCATGACGGATGTTTTTGTTTGATATTTAACGTTTGTTCAATTGTTCATGTTTTTAATCATACATACTGCTTATAAGACACTAAAAAGTAGAACATATAAATTAACCATGGATTCACATTTGCGAGATGGTCAGAAAAAAACTCTGTATTAAAGGTTCCCAGCAAATGTCTTGCGCCACCTTGCTACACAACTGCCAAAAGCGCAAATTCTTACCTGCAAAAGCAATTGATATTATGGTATTTAACTCAGCTTTCGGAGCCCAGTTTTGCAGTAAGATGACAGTTGCAGGTATTACATTTCCCTGCGAAATAGGAAAAGATTTGGTTATTTAGGGCCTTTATTATTGAATAATGACTCTAATCCGTTTGCCCAGTGTAAACAATTGGTTCATGTGAGAGTAGGGGCTAACCCCGTGTACTATTGTGGACATACGTGAGCATGCGTGCACCGGTTTACCGCCAGGAGAATAAAGTTGCAGTGCTATTCCACGCCGCGAGCCCAATGAGACTTTGGTATAAACCGCTAAAACTATATTATTACTTATATAAGTATACGAAAACATAATGTACCGCCATTAGCATGGACAATTAATATAATGTAATAATAAGTGAATAGTTTTGTGTTTGATCAAGGAAATTTATTTTTTACAGTAACAACTGTCATTGTCCTAGACTTGCCACAAGTCTCTAATTTATGGATTTTTCGTAGTATTAGCACATTTCGGAATGCGCCACCAGCGTCAGTTTATGTTGAGAAACTTTTTTGATAAGAATTACCCAGAAGTATACTATGGAACGCAAATAAGTAATATGGAACGCCATTTGTGCAAAAATCGATTTATTCTTAAGCATTTCGACTGATTAAGACAAAGATTAGGGACTGGAACCCAGTCTATCATTGTCCCTACTACACCCATAAACACATAGTCAGAATAAAGAGGGAGCTTTCGACGTAAAACATAACGACGTCACTAAAGTCTTCTGCGCATGCGAGAACGTTAAGTTCTCCTCGTCGCGTGGATTCTAGGACGCAATTTGGCCAAATCTACGTATGCAGAGAACGTAGGACGCCCAGTATGACGTTCACGCATGAGTGATTCCGTTCTAGCGTTGCGTCGTTGCACAAATCGAAAGCTCTTATATGAGCACTTACCTGAACCATTCCGTCTAAACCTCGCAATATCACAACTAGGCCAACACTGACTCCTGCTGCCCATGGTATTAAGATTGATAGAATACTCGAACAAATAATTGAAAATCCAATCATTCGTTTGCCGCCTATACGTTCTGCCAACCAACTTCCGGGTATCGGCATGATTGCGTAACCATAAAAGAAAGCTCCAAGTATCATTTGCTGTGTTTTTTCATCCCAATCGAAAGTTTGCACCTGTTTTTAATGTTTTTTAAATAGTAAACAAAGTAGCACAAGCAAATAATAATTGATATTCTATTTTAAAAATTCCATTTTAAGAACCTGTTCATAATCATTATTTTGTTTAGCCGTCGGCACAATATTGTTTGCTTACTTTTAATCACAGTGGTTGTCTTTTTGATTGTAAATTAAAATTCTTAGTTCCGTGTCTGTCTGATATGTAGGCCCCTATGTATTTACTCTTTAATTGTGATTATTTTAACGAAACATTATATTGTTATACCACCATTAAATAAATGCTATAGTGAATCTTGACTTACATTATTGTCGTTGCTTTTTGTGGTGTTAAGTGGCAGCTCTATTTTACCAACAGTCAAACTTGTGTTGTGACGCACCATCACAGTGATGGCGATACTTAAATTAAACCTTATAGTATAGAAAAGGACGTTTGCCACAAAGCAAGTGCACGCAATAAAATATCGTATCATCGTAAAGATGGCTAAGACGGATTCCAATGACTGTTTGCACAATTCTAACACAGCCTTGCGGCTTGCTTTGGGTCCAAGACTTTCTCTTTTTCGCAATTGTAGCACAGTCCTCCCTACTGTGGCCTGTTCCAAGTAATTTTCTTATTCACAATCCAAGCTCAGCCTTGTCTATTAAATTCAATTCAACTTTTACTTTCAAGGCCTAGCACAAAACAGTATATACAAACAATAAATAAAATGGGTCAGAAAGATTAACTAATCACTCAATCAAACAAATAATGAATCAATCAATCAATCAACCAGTCAATCAACTTAAAGACAATGCACGATGTTCTACAATCAATGTCTACTGTACTGGTAAATACAACAACTGATTCCACTTCAAGTTCAATTTTGAATCACATATCATTTTAGAACAAACACATTTGATAAAAGCTATTGCAACTCTTATCAATTCTGGTCTTAAAACTGTAGGCCTACACAGATTTCCTGAGATATTCATAGAATGAAGGTACGTTATTGTTGTTACCTGCTACAAAGCCCTTTCTTTCTTCACAATCCAGCACAGTCTTGCTTAGTTGTCTGCTCAAAGTTGTTTTCTTTTTCACAATCTAAGTACAGCCTTTCCTGTAGTTACCTACTTAAGCACTTTCATTTTTCACAATCCAGCACAGAGGCCAACTCTAAAGACTGTTTTCTGCTAGGATAATTTATTTGGTTCCTGAGCTCTGATTGGTTGACCACATTTTTCCGCATCGCAAAATGTAGAAACAGTTCGAACTGCCAATCGCTTCGCGAAAAGTAGAAACGGAGCTACCAATTCGCTTAAGCGAAAACTTCGATGGAAATGTGAATACAAGTGCGCATGAACGACGTTTTCGATTCGAGCAGAATTTGCCTAGTGGAAGACCGGCTTAGGCTTTTTGTTTTTCAGTCAACGTCCGCTTCAGTGGAGGGGCGTGGCTTGTATAGTGACATCATGCATAATTATACCGCCTATACCTGAAAGCATCACAAATACTGATGTGACTAATGTGACGTTAGCGAGCAGACTGAGGCTTAGTTTTGTCATGTTTTGTGCTGCTGCTAAGGCCTGTAACAAACTGTTGGGTCCATTTCCAGCCTACGGGCCCAACTAGTGTGGACGATCGAAGCTACGCCTCAAGGTCGGACTAGTGAGTGGCCTCTATTAGAAACCTAGCCTAGTCCAGCTACCCGGTCCTGCTATAGAGTCTTCGTTTACGTTTAAAGCTGGGCCTATGCAAAATCTGTTGTAATACCCTGGCATAGGCCCCTTCTCTAGGCCTAGGTTAGTGAAGAATCCTGTATTGCATATGAATTATTTTAATAAATAACATTTATACAATAGATATTACAATACAGACATGGAAAAGTTAATATATTTAATTGAATTAAATACAGTATATTTAAAACTTTCCGTCACCCTTCTCTTTTTCTGGAATAGGCCTATATAGGCCTCCCATGGCAATTTTGTTTAAAAGCAGTGAAACAATAAAAATAATAATTCTAAACTTCAGCAGTCATATAGGTGTGATGTTTTGCCCTACCTGACGTGTTGTCGCGTACTGGAATACTCAGTACAATACGTCCCCAAATACTGTACTTAAAAAAAAAATTTCGCAAGTGATTTTGGAGGCCTCCGTTACCTCCACATAACTGGCCTGGCGCCATATACCACCAGACTACCTACCGAGCTTGCGCTTAGTGACTAGTGTTGAAAATCCGATCCCCAAGTAGCAGTGGGTACTGTAAATTCTATTTCGATGTGAGTTTGCTTCAGGAGATATCATACTGTAGGTGTGATGTAACATAACTTAAAATAACATAACTTGAAATACCGTTTATGTTTACTCAAGAGCACAATATACTATAAAATTCCTTTTGAAAATATATACATATACGTTTTGTTTGAAATATTCAAGTTTTTCTGTATTGTCAACAGAACACAATACAATTTTTCTAAAGCAACTGAAATAACTATTAACTATTTCTTCAACACATTGTTCAATTGTTTTTGTTTTTAATCATACATACTGCTTATAAGACACTAAAAAGTAGAACATATAAATTAACCCTGGATTCACATTTGCGAGATGGTCAGAAAAAAACTCTGAATTAAAGGTTCCCAGCAAATGTCTTGCGACACCTTGCTACACAACTGCCAAAAGCGCAAATTCTTACCTGCAAAAGCAATTGATATTATGGTATTTAACTCAGCTTTCGGAGCCCAGTTTTGCAGTAAGATGACAGTTGCAGGTATTACATTTCCCTGCGAAATAGAAAAAGATTTGGTTATTTAGGGCCTTTATTATTGAATAATGACTTTAATTCGTTTGCTCAGTTTACTATTGTGGACATACGTGAGCATGCTTGCACCGGTTTACCGCCAGGAGAATAAAGTTGCAGTGATTCCACGCCGCGAGCCCAATGAGACTTTGTATAAACCGCTAAAACTATATTATTACTTAGTATACGAAAACATAAATGTACACCGCCATTAGCATGGAAAATTAATATAATGTAATGATAAGTGAATAATTTTGTGTTTGATCAAGGAAATTTATTTTTTACAGTATCAACTGTCATTGTCCCTACTACACCCACAAACACATAGTCAGAATAAAGAGGGCGCTTTCAATTGCACGACGACGGTAGGGCGTAAAACATAATGACGTCACTAAAGTCGGAAAGGTCCACTGATTAATCTCAGATAAGAAAGTATAATACATACTCCAAGTATTGAAATACACGCCATAGTGTTGGGATTCAATATTTCGACATTAATTATGTCATCATCAGGAATGAAAAAATTATCCATATTAGCAAGCTTATATGCACTAGTACCAAAAGTGTTTAACCAATCAAAACATTAGTAGTATTACTAGTAGGTGACATAGCAGTGATTTAAACAAAAGATCAAAGCATTCTTACTCTAATGATCAAAGATACCTACAAAAACAAAGAAAGCTCTTTTGAAGCTCTGAGCCAATTGTTAAGCAAAGGGTGTAGTCTACGTATAGCGAACGCTTCTTTAAACAATAGGATAGACCAGTTTCGGGAGCTGTCAATAATGCTAGTACTAGAAAATATTAAACCTAATTTATTACTTGCATTACACAGACGACATTATCATTTTCAAGTATACCCTGTAATCCTAAAACAAATTGGAATGCCTCACAGTTTTTAACATGATCAAATATAACACTATCAGATCGTGAAGAATGTTCTTTAAGTCTAGTTATTAAGCACCTATCTGTCTTACCAATATAATCACTATTGCAGCATGGACATTTAAAATGATAGACAACAGAACTTCTGTACTCCTTAGGGGTTTGATCCTTAGTAGATATAAAATGAGAAACATTTTTATACTGCCATAAAGTTATGAATTTTACCTCTTTAATTAAGTGTTTATTTACCTTATTTAAACATCTACGTAAAATGAACTCACCTGGTTTTCCTAGATAAGGCAAATCTAACCCAAATCTTAATCAAGCTATCATCGGTAGGCCTATGTATACATTTAGGTTCATTTAATTTCTTAAGTACATTATTAACAACTTTTAATGGGTACCCATTCCAAGACATAAACTTCTTAATGTTACTAAGCTCTGTTTGAAGTTTATCAGGAGTACACAATCTGTGGGCTCTAGAAACTAAACTACGAATCCAGGAGATCTTATGGTTCCATGGAGCAAAGCTATCATAATGGACATACAGTATTGACCTGTATGTGTATTTTTATGATATATACTCATGCTTCCTACACTGTTGCTAAATTGTAAATCCAGAAAGTGTACTGTGTCACTGTTTTCAAATGATTCAAAAGTAAAATTTATCTGTCTATGAAAAGCATTGAAGTAGCTTAGAATTTGCGGGAATTCATTGGGCTTAGCTAATACTAGCGTGTCGTCAACAAAACGAGTATAAACTTAATTGTATTCAATAAGTTTTAGGAACAATAGACTCTTCTAGTTCAGTCATTAAAATATTAGCTAAAACTGGGCCAAGAGGCGAACCCATTGAGACACCATCGGTTTGTTTATAAAATTCGTTATTACACGTAAATACAGTTTTAGTACAGTAATCTCTAAGTAGTTTCCTTAGCGAATTTTTCTTAAGGTTAGTAGATATCAGTTTCTTATTGTAAACCCTATCAAGAATTATATTAATTACCTTAGTAAGGGGAACATCTGTAAACAAAGATTCAACATCAAAAGATACAAATCGGTAACCTAAATTATATAAATTGTTTGGTATAGCTTTAATGTGGTCAGCAGCATCAAAAGAATCTTTTAAAGTCGTTAAGAACGTTAAGTTCTCCTCGTCGCGTGGATTCTAGGACGCAATTTGGCCAAATCTACGTATGCAGAGAACGTAGGACGCCCAGTAGACATCATAATTGGTCGCCCAATACGCCTCAGAGGTTATTTTCGGTCGTGAGAGTACAGGAAAGTACTGCTGTGGGAAACATTAACTGGATATATGGACATACTGTATATATATGTAGCTCTCTATACAATAATAATAATAATAATCTCCACCCAGGTTCTTTCAGCTACAAAATGAAACAGCAAGCAACAAATCATATGGAATCCAATATAAAATACACTATTTATTAATACTACTGCTCACTCGTAAAACTCAATACTAACTACGCTACACTTTTTTTTTTATAAGAACCAGTAAAATTTTGCCCAGGCTCAGTGTTCTTATTTTTTGGCCAATTTCAGGCTCAAAATGTTCTTATTTTACACACTTTTCAAACATAGAAAATTACTATTGTACAGCAGTATACACTGTACTGGGAAGTGAAAGCGGCCCTGCAAAAAATGGCTGAATGAAAGGCCCAGCAAAAAATGGCCCCACAAAAACTGGCTCCAGTTAAAAAATGGCCCCAAATGGGAGGTAGGTACACTTACTGTACTGTATTATAGAGGGTATTGCATATTCACACCAGTGCACATAAGGTACAGATATATTTTTTTGGTTTTTCTAGTTTGACATTCTATCTCAGCCTCAATTTGTTCTTATTTTGTTCTTCATTTTTAAGCAATTTCAGCCTCAGTGTTCTTATAAAAAAAAAGTGTACTCTGCCAGCACACATACCGGTACCCCTGGTTACTCACTCCAACCACAAAACCTATATACTGTATATATATATATATATATACATATATATATATATATATATATATATATAAATACATCGTGTAGCACAGCTCTCAACGAATGTAGTCCTGTAAATAAATGAATAAAGAAATTGTGTAATAAAATTCCTCTGG